CTCCAATGTTGTAATGGATTTACCATGAACAGCATAATATATGTTAACTCAGCATCACAATTAACCATGTAATTTTCTCTTTACATGACATAATAATGTCCCTCTAAGAATTACACAATTAGAAAAAACATCAGCTGGTCGGTAATAACTCCATATTTCAAAATATCTGAGTTAAGCTTTAAAGTTAGTTACCCAAAAATATAGCAAAGTATTTTTACAGCATCTTAAAACAACACTGGCAAATAGCCTTGGAAAAGTACATTAACAGACTACTTAAACAAAGAATTAACATTCTGTAATGCTAAATAGGCTACTACTGTTTTATAGCCATTCATTCAGAATACACATTTTAACCTCAGTAGTAACATTGCACTTAAAGGAACACTCCGACTTTTTGGGACTTTAGCCTATTCACCTTACCCCCCAGAGTTAGATAAGTCCATACATACCTTTTTCATCTCCGTGCGTGCTATAAGTCTGTTTGACGCACCCACCGCTAGCCTAGCTTAGCACAAAGACTCGATGTGACTGGTTGCAGCTTTCATACTAATCCAAATGAGTGGCAAAATAACGCAAACGTTTTCCTATTTACATGTTGTGATTTGTATAGTCACATAATGTACAAATAACAAAGTCAAATGAGACACAGACATCTTTTAACCGTATAAAACCTGGGAACTATTCTCTGAAGGCGAAGCACTGCTACTTTGACGGCGTAATAACCGCATCACCGGAGACACGCTGTGGTGAGGAGCGGAGAGTTCGCTCGGTGTTTGGGTAATAGAGTCAGCAATTTATAAATAGTAAAAGCGTAGTTTAGAGTCATGGGTTTTCGCTCTATTGTAAATAGCTGCGACTGTAAACAGGGGAGGTAATACCATGTTTCACAGAATTCCAACTAAAAACGCTGACTGGATGAAGAAATGGCTAACTTACTCTGGATATTTATCCAAACACACCATAAGATTATCAAGGGACATTATGTTTGCTCGGTACATTTCAATGAGGACGACTATTTTGAAAAAATGGAATTTGCCACACGGACCATAATGTGCTGAAGGATACGGCTATCCCATCGATAGCACAGACAGGACAAGTGGATCACCTGCAGCTGAGGTAAGTGTTCCGTTATGTTTTTAGATGACCTACTGTAACAGTGCCTTTAGCCAGAGCTAATGTAACGTTAGTGACACTACTATATGATTAGGGTATGAATATGTTTTTATCTTGATGCGGTGCGGACGCGCTTGGGAAAAAAAAAATGAGCGCGTTCACCGCGTTGAACTTGCACCCTGCGCGCGGTGCGCCTAGTAGCCTAAATTTGAAATAACCATGGAAATAACGAACTTGAGCGTGCAAAAGGGTACGATAGGCTGTGAGTTCATTGTGCAAAAACAATTTGTGCTATTACTTTCCCCTTATTCTATCCTAGTAATGCAATACTGTATATTATATAGGCTACTGTTGAATACATTTGGTTCAGCTAATAAATTGCATTTAAAATATATTGATTCCTGTAATAATAATTATTTATTCATGTGATATTTATAAATCTGGGTGCGTTTTTGGTTGGAAATCAATGAAACATGGTACTGTATTAACCTGGTCTCCCCTGTTTATTGTCACAGCTCATACAATAAAGCAAACACCCATGATAAACTATGCTTTTCTATCTAACGTTAGTAATTGCTGACTCTTTATTCCAACGCTGAGCGAAGCGAACTCTCTGCTCCTCGTCACGGTGCGTCTCAGGTGATTGTTATCACTCTGCCCAAGTAGCAGTGCTTCCCCTTCAGAAAATATAGTATTTATACGGTCAAAAGATGTCTGTGTCTCATATGGCCTTGATATTTGCACACTCTGTGACTATACAAACCACAACATGTAAATAGGAAAACGTTTGCGTTATTTTGTCACTCATTTGGATTAGTATGAAAGCTGCAACCATTCACATCCAGTCTTTGTGCTAAGCTAGGCTAGCGGTGGGTGCGTCAAACAGACTTATAGCACGCACGGAGATGAAAAAGGTATGTATGGACTTATCTAACTCTGGGGGGTAAGGTGAATAGGCTAAAGTCCCAAAAAGTCGGAGTGTTCCTTTAACACAGAAAGTATATTGCATCTTCACATTAAACACATTTTTTGCATAAACTTACTTATAAACTTAACTTATAACAATAACACATTTACCTTTTTTTCTATGCTATACAACGAATGAGAAAATGGCGGCGCCTGCACTTTTACATTACCAACACGCTTTTAATCTCGCCCACGTGACATAGCTAGTATACAGGCAACACTGGATCAACACTTCACGGTTAGCCTGCTAAATGTGCAGTGCATATATAATTACTAAATTTACTCTCTGCATGTTCCATATGGTATTAAACACATATAGCCTATAATCGTTTAAACATATTACAGCCCACTTTCTTACCTGAAAAACATGACACGGACACGATGTGGCTTCAGTCAAGTCCAATGTTGTAATGGACGAACGACGAACGCAAGCCGCACGTTCCGTACCCAGGCTGAAAAAGGCATTAGCAATCGTTAACAGATCCTCCGATCACAAACCGGAACTTACATTTACAGCAAAGGAAAGTGAAACTTATACAAACAAGCAAACACAGCATATTGTAAATTAAAGTGCATTACCCAAAAATGTTATAGAAGTTATGAGACTGCATTTTAAACACATATTGTCTTTTTATCCTATTAAGCTTTTTAGCCTCATTTACTCACAAAGCAATGGGATCACCGATCTACCGATCATGTATGTATTTTCTTTCTCCTGTTTTATAAAGAAATTAATGTTTCTTAAAATTAAATAAATAAATAAAGCCACAATATGTATTATTTCTGCTTTAAAAATAGCAAAAATAACTGTATCTATGTTATTTCTATTAGATGTGTACATTATCCCGACAGTTTCCACCAACTTTAAAATACGGAGAAATTTATAGTTTAATTCGAAGACAAGGGACGTTTCTATATTTCCGTTTCGTCGCCCATCTATGGCGTCATATAACGGACGAGGAGCACGGACTGGCTCGAGCTGGGCGGTCTGCTTGTGCCTGTGCTCTCGCTGTGTGCTATGGACACAGATAGAGTCCGTCTGCTCTGCTGCAGAGAATTTAAACAATGGCAATTTCCTCTGGACGAAATCTCTGAATCAGACGAGCACACGGACGTTTGTGTTGTGATGTGAACCATCCTGGTATCATGCAATACCAAAGTTGTTAAAGTAATAGCTCACCCAAAAATTATTTTTCTCTCTGTAAAACATACAATGTTGGTGACTGGAGCTTTCAAAGATGATTTCAGGATTGGTGAAGGTTGTGAACCAGATTAACCAATTCATTGATTAAAAAGAACAGATTTTTTTTAGTGAAGAATGACTTAAATTTTGCAACTTGCATTTTCTTACACAAACCTATCATTTGGATTAGCAGACTTGGAAAATATTGAATGGGTTACTTTTGTACAAGTGGCCTGGATATTTTTCAAACATTCACTTTCACAGAAGAAATAAGCTGAAAAGACTTGAGGGTGAGTAAATAAATACAGAATTTATGAAAAACTAAAGGTTTTGAAAAGAGGATCTATAATTTAGATACATGGAACAATAGTGGAAAAGCATAGTGGACTCAATAAATCTCTCTGATGTGTTCCGTGAAGATGTGTGCTGTGAAGGATGTACTTAACACAAATGTTCTATTAAAAAGTTCAGTCAGGCAGTCTTTTTGTGGATGAGAGATAATGAGTCTTCAACTTTGACCTTTGACTAGTTGGATTCTCTCTGTGCTGAGCCATTGGGGGATAAGGGGGGTGGGTCATCCAATTACCGTAATTGGCCACTTAACGAAGCTGTTGCCCATCATAAAACACGGAGGGCCATTTATCTCCTCAACAAAAGATGTGTCATTTAACAAAATAACATCTTATCAACTTTCAGTCGCACAACATTCTTTGAAAACCCTCATCATAAATTACATATCTGAGGGAATCATGCCATGAGGGCTTTTGAAAAGCTACAGCAGTGCTTTTCAACTGAATATGAGCCCTAATGAAGGGATACTGGGACTCATGACCTGTATCAATTGGTAGCTGACTTCAACGAATACTCCTGTCGCTTCTGATTTTATTACACAGTGATGTGTAAGGTTTTGACTAACAAGATTTTAAGGCAAGAAATACATATACATTTCAAAATGTTCTACCCTTTTGTCTTTTTGTTTCAGTACACTCAGTGTGCTGGCTAATGCTATGTGAAAGTTTTTTTATTTATTTATTTATTAATCAATCCCTTTAGATGATATTTCCAAATGTTCTAGATGACTGAGAGCTGAATGATTGCTTGTGTGGCTGTGTAAGTCTCCTCTTGCCATCAATATTCATGCACGGTGATTCATTATTCAGATTGCTGAGCACAGAGAGTTCAGAGGCATGTTGATACAGATTTGAGACGTTCATAAGTGTGGCACACCTGCAGAGACTAAATACTAAGATTCACGCAGAGCTTGAAATTTTTATTTCAGCATCTCTTACGTTTTTGAGTATTCGACCAGTATGTTAGTTTCCTGGGAATTAGACCCGCAACCTTGATGTTGCTTGCGCCATGTATATGCCAGATGTTTATGACACCACTTATATGGATCAATTCAATTGCTAGAATATGTATCTTTTTTAAGAATTACTGTCCATTTGGCTTTGCTGAAAAGTGGATGTGGATAGAGTTTTGTGACGTTCCTGCTCTTTAGATTTACTACACACTGCTGCTCAGCTAATATTGATTTTTGTTAAACCACTTAAAAGTCACTGAATGTGATATTAGTTAAATGAAAAAATACAGAATGATGTATAACATCTATTTTCATATTTTAGAAGAACCTTTTTGATACTGCACATTGTGGCAACATGTCTTTTTTTATTTTTCCAAGAATATGATTTTTACAGTATAGCAATTCTTTCAGACTGCTTTCTTAAATCTCTTTCAGTCAGACACTGAGTTTTGGGATAAGATGCAGGCAGAGTGGGAAGAACTCGCTCGCAGGAACTGGCTAACAGAGAATGACCAACCGCAGATTCCCTCCAATGTGTCTCCTTACGAAAAGGTAGAGGAGAAACCATATAAGCAAATGATTAAACAAATATTTGTTTATTTATTCAGTATGTAAAACCTTCATACATTTCTATTTATTTAGATTTTCCAGTATAAAAAAACTTCATAAATTGTCCACTAATTGATTATTTCTTCCTCAGGGATACTACTTCCACACAGATAACCCTTTCAAAGACTGGCCAAATGCATATGAGGAGGGATTACGCAAGTCGAGAGAGGGAGAACTGCCTAACGCCGTACTTCTTCTGGAAGCAGCTGTGTTGCAGGACCCTCAGGATTCAGAGGTGAGGGAGTGGACTTATAACACAAGAGTAACCCTGGTACTTCCATCTAATCAACATCTGCACAGCTTGAAAACAGCAAGCCACATGTTCTGCCAATCAGACCACCGTCATACCTTTCCTACATACAGTGATAAGTGGTAGTTTTGTTCTTGCCCACTCTGAACATTTTTACAGATCATGACATGATTAGCCAAGGCAGGGGGTTCCATGTTCTAACTAATTTTCTCTGTATTAGACATCATACTTGACAGTGACCGATAGCAAACCATTACACTTCTTTAACCGAGTAGGGTTCCCTTTTTTTCAGACGATTTAATGATGTAATAGTTCAGTTACTTCCCAGAAAGGATTATCCCTCTTCTCCTGGAATTACCCCACCTCTGATTGTGTGTCCGAAAAAAAAAAGATGAATTTCACCAGATAAAATTTCAAAGCAAATAACATTTCGGGGAGAGTTTGCTTGTGAAATATCATCAAGAACTCTATACTCATTGTACTGTTGCAAGTTAAGTGCGCAGACTTAGCCAACCATGTTAAGATATTCTATTTATAACGCTCATTAATACATTTTTCGTTGTATTCACAAACTGTTGGCTAAGCCTTGTCACGAGTAATGCAGTTTCCTCCAGCACAAAGTTAATAAGCTTGTATTCATAACCTTATGAATGATTCATTTAGGAATTATAGCATAAATATTCAGTATATTTGCCTAGCAGTATAGTACATCCAATGTTTCATTATCTCCAAGTAATGGCAACACAAATCCATTTAGTTCCTCGCTAACATTGTGTTGTATGTGTGAGTCGCAGGCCTTTGAGAATGAATCATTTCCCCTAGGTTAGCACTGTAGGTCCTGCACAATAGAAGCTCCTCACCAGAGTCAAGGTGATAACCGCAATGCTTATTGTTCAGCACCTATTTTCTTTTCAGGCTTGGCTGGTGCTGGGAACCACACAAGCAGAGAATGAGAATGAGCAGGCAGCAATTGTCTCCCTCCAGAGGTAAAGAAGTATCCCTGCATCAATCATATGCAGATGATGTTTTACATAGAGCCGTTTGAGTCATCACACTATACGATGTGACTGAGCATTTATGGCAAAAAAATAAGTAGAAAGATTTGGTTTGTATTAGTACGTATGCTTGATGATCGTGAGGTGTGTAATGAGATAAACATGAGCTAAAACTCTCATCACCATCAATGTCACATATGATTAATGTTAATCTAAAAGTGAATCCTCATTCAGAATAGAAACAGTATAAGTAATGAAAACAATGTCTGCTTGAGTGTTTAATGCAGAGAGGAAGTTCAACCATAAGAATGTCAAACATTCCTTGAATTGAACACCTCCATGTGGTTATCTGTGACACCAAATGAGACCAAGCTCTCTGCTGTGCCCTCTCCTGCTCGAGATAAAGGGCTACTGCATTAACCCGGTGATCCAATTAAAATTGCATTTCATAAGCACAGTGGCCTTTGGGAGATTACATTCATTTTGGATAGAACAGCCAGTTATAATCTCATTCAATGTTCCTCTGAGCGACCAGGATGAAAACTCCTAACTATGTGTTAATCATTGGTGACACTCAAAGCTGTGTTTTGGTACCATATATCCACATCACTTTTGAATGTTGGATTTTCTCTGATATTATCAAACATAATTTAATCTGTCATTTTAAAAGGGTGTGTCATCTGTGCTCGGTACAGTAAAGCAATAGTATTGTGAAATATGATAAACATTTAAAATAACTTCTACTTTAATATATTTTAAAATGTAATTTATTCTTGTGATGGCAAATTTTCAGCAGTCTTCAGTGTCACATGATCTTTCTGGTATGCTATTTGGTGCTTAAGAAAAATTTCTTAGCACCATTGAAAACAATTGTGCTGCTTAATATTTTTGCAGAAACTGATTTTTGTCAAGCACAGAATTTATATTTAAATATTATTTTGTTGTTGTTTTTATTTTAATAATGTAAGTTACTGTCACTTTTGATCAATTAAATGTGTCCTTGCTGAATAAAAGTATTTAGAAATATATTCCAGTTGGGTTAATAATGTGTTTAAATCCCTTGTAACCATTCAAATAAAATACCCTCAGTTTCAATAAATCACAAGGATTTGCCACCCAGGTTTAACTACTTCCTTGAAGTGACCACCAGGTGTAAATGTTAACAGATTTATGGAACGGCCATTGGTGAAGGGGTTCAGTTGCTCACTTTTGTTTTGAATGACCCTAGCTTCCCTTGTTCCCAATTGACTGGAATTGTAGTGAGTCCTATTAATACTATTCCTATTCATAAGAAACACTGAAGTACATATTTTTAGTACGTAGTGTATATGTGAATCGGGACACAGCAGACATTTTATTTTGGCTGAAGGGAGTGGGGGTGGATGGGTGAGTATACTATTATCTAATAATCTGATTAGAACAGATCAGATTAGATTAGAATTTATATTTCTGATGGATTTACCAGATAAATCATTAGCAATGTGAACTGATTTTGTTTTAATGGACAACAAAAGATTTTTTTTTTTTTTTACTGACTCTCATTAAGACAACTTTTATTGCTTTTATTTGGCATCGTTGCATTTATTCGTTGATACACCTGTGTAGCTAATGTGCAGAAATAAACAATATCTAGATGTCACCCTCACCATGTTTTTTCTTACACTTGTTAAAGCTGCAGTCCGGTGTTTTTCCTCTTTGTCGCCATCTCTGTTTGAAATCTGCAATTGCAGTCATTCGCGAATTATCAACTTTACGTGAGATGTATTTCAACGCCCTTGACACGCCATAGTCTGGATGAACACAATGGTTGAGGAGACTGTGAGTGTCAGTCACCGTGTCGATGTGGATATTGGCATTCAGAATCACAGATTATTCTTTTTGGAAGTATGACCAATTTTCACCGGTAAATGTCATCTGAACTAGTAAGAAACAGCTTTAAGAAACAGAAACAGCAACGGACTGCAGCTTTAAACAGGAAAACGCGATTTTCATCATAAACTGGGCAAATTATTTATTTTTGTTTTATGAAATATATTTACAGTCTCCATGCAGACACTTGAGATGACACAAGCATCCACCCATGAATTAAAACCAGCATTAATCAGGAAGCATCTGGCTCTTATTATGATGGCAGACAGCTAATTAGTGTCCATCAAAAGCAGCGGTTCTTTAGATGCTTCCCTGTTGTATGTGTGTGCAGGTGTCTGGAGCTCCACCCCAACAACCTTCAGGCCCTCATGGCCCTGGCAGTGAGCCTGACCAACACAGGCATGAGGCAGGATGCGTGTGAGGCGCTCCTGGGCTGGATAAGGCACAACCCCAAATACAAGCATCTTCTGAAGAGCCGCACGCACCTGCAGGGCTCACCTGGCTCAAGGAGACTTTCCTACTCCTCTTCAAATGGCTGGTATGCTTTCAAATGAATGAAGTGACACAAGGAATATACAGCAGCCCCAAAATTGTTCTTACACTTAATGTATGAATTTAATTACTGTAGAAACTAAATAATAAGTGGTTTTAAACAAATAATGCAAGGCTTTTCAGAACTAACTTTAAGTGTTAGGCATGTTTGCAGTTACTTCTAACCAACAGGTCATTTTAGTGGATGTATTAGGTCAGAGGTCAAACAGGTGTCCTAGTAGAGCTGAAACCACAGGTGTAATTCATTACATGACCCACTAATGTTTGACAACAGAAACGTGTCCAAATTCTTTTGTCTTAATGTTGAACAATATATCTTTTGTTCTATCATTTGAAACCTAATAAACATCCACTTTACAAATAAATAATACTTATTTGATATTTTGTATTATTTTTCTGCAATAATTATTTTGATAATCATTTTATTAATTAATAAAATGAAAACAAATATATGCACAGTACCGGTCAAAAGTTTGGAAATATTACTTTTTTAATGTTTTTGAAAGAAACCTCTTATGCTCATCAAGCCTACATTTATTTGATCAATGATACAGAAAAAAACATTAACATTGTGATATTATTACATTTTAAAATAATGTACTGAAGGATCACGTGACACTGAAGACTGGAGTAATGGCTAATGAAACTTCAGCTTTGCATCAATTGAATAATATTTTAAAGTATATTAAAAAAAAAACGGTTTCACTTTATTTGGATGGTCCCTTTAACATTCAGTTGACTATAAGTAACGTTTCACCTACTGTACGTCTCTACTAACTCTCATTGTTTGTAGACTATCAGTAGACTAACGGGGTTAGAATACGTTGACATGTTTGCAAAGTTACTTTTTAGTCAACAGAATTTTCAAAAGGGACCATAAAAAGTGTTACCAAAAAAACATTACCGGTATTTTACATTTTGATAAAATAAATGCAGGTTTGATGATCAGATACTTTTTTCAAAAACATTAAAAATAGTTATGTTTCCAAACTTTTGACCGGTACTCTAGCCCCTTTTCCGGTTCGAAGCCGGTGCCTGCGCGCGAACCAGTTCTTTGTGTTTCGACAGCCAACGAACCGGTTCTCGGCCAGGAGATCTGGTTCCAAAGCGGCACCAACTCTTTGCTGGACTAGAACCGTTCTTTTACTACGTCATGCTTACATCGGGGCCGGGTTTAGATGTGTTCTAAACATCTTTTCTTACAATGATAAAGGATCACAAAGCCAAGAGAAACATTTGCAGAAACATGGAGTCCGCCTTTGTAATTTTTATGCTTGAAGTTAACTCAAGCGTTTCTATTTTTGTAATTTTTTTATTGAAGACATTATAAGCAAAGAAGAAAACAGTCACAATAAAGAACAAATAAATGGAAAGAAAAAAAGACACAAGACAAGGGTACATAACTTATCAGAAAAGATTACATATCAAACGAAAAGATTAAAAGCAAAGCTTTCTTGGTACACGAGTTAGAGATAATCCAAAAGTAATGTTGTATTTGCAAGCGTTTCTAGCGTTTCTAAGACGTATAGCGACGTACACAGTGATGTAATGACGTCGTTCCCTGGGCGCTCTAGTCAGTGGAAAAACAAATAGGTTCTGAAGCGGTTTGCAAGTTGAACCAACTCCGAACCAACTTTTTTGGGTGGAAAAGGGGTAAGTGTGTGTGTGTGTGTGTGTGTGTGTGTATACACACTTGTGTGTGTGTGTATATATTTTTTCTTGTTTTTATTTGAACACATTGCCCTTTTAACTTAACATTAATTTAAAACATCTAGTGCAAACCCCAACATGAAGTTCCCCAAATCCTTAATGGACAGTTCTTGGAACCAACATTTTAAATGTCTCTCTAAAGATTCCATTTCCCTTTTCTTAGTTATTAAATGACACATTTTGATGATGTTGCTGGAAGGGACTTCCCTGAAATGCAGTGCCTCTGAGTCTCTCATCTCTGTCTCTCTCTCTCTTTTCTGTCACTCCAGCCCCATGCTCCTAGAGGTGAAGGATCTGTACCTGGACGCTATCCAGCAGAACTCGGACACTATTGACCCAGACCTGCAGACAGGGTTGGGAGTGCTGTATAACCTCAGCTCCGAGTTCAACAAAGCAGTGGAAGCCTTCAACTCCGCGCTGTCAGTGCGGCCGGAGGTAAAGCCCTGCTCAGTGGTGCTAACTGGTGCTAATTCATACAGAAACCCTAAAGGCAGAGGCCAAAGGAGATAAGAAGAAAGTCACTGGGGCTCACGAAGGGCCTCTGAAATCTTTGAAACAGTTCATTTCAAACTTTAGGGGAGCTTTACCATTCATGAGCGCTGACTCGTCGACGATTGATGCTTGCTAAGCCAAATTCTGTCCCCCTGTGTAGACTGCATTTACACTCAATCGAAAATCCTCCCCATCTGCTTGACTTGGTAATGTCTGCTTGCCTGCTGGGGAGGCCCATAGCGTGAATACCATGAAAGATAATAGCAACATGGAAGTGAAACTCTGATATCAGACTCCTTGTGACTTCTTTGTACCACTATTTTAGGCTGCGTCACCGTACTTAAAGGTCAACTTCATATTTTTTATCCCTAAAAGAAAGAGAGCAGATCATCACTTAATGGTATTAAACATGGTTGAATATAACTGCATAATCTTTCAGAGTGATAATTATTTTGATCCATGACACTGAGCCAGAGGGGATTTCTTTTTTTTGTTTGTTTTTTTTTTTGCCGTTGGTGTGTACAGGACTACCTGCTGTGGAATCGGCTGGGGGCGACGCTGGCTAATGGAGATCGCAGCGAGGAGGCTGTGGAGGCCTACAACAAAGCCCTGGAGCTCCAGCCCGGCTTCATCCGCTCACGTTACAACCTTGGCATCAGCTTCATTAATATGGGCGCTCACAGGTTTGTGACAGAGCGTTTTTGGGCTTGTCCTGGAAATTATGTAAAACATCTTCCCCAACTTTTTGTATAAATACTTTGATCCCGTGTTTATGCCTGAATACATGCAACATAATAAGGAAACATTTATTCCTTGATTTATGGATGCTTCTTCAACTACTGGCACTTCTGTGTCCCGGGCTTGATTTTTTGTTTGTTTGTTTGTTTGATATGAGGGTGATATTAAAACTTTTGCCTTTTTCAAACTATGTCTTCATACATTATTTGTCCTACTTTTCAGATGCCTTTATGTGTGGATCTTATTATTATACCCTTGGCCCAGACTCAGATTTTTAATCTTTAAAATACGAAACTGCATTATTATTTCTGTCATGACAACTCTCGGAAAGATTAGCGTGGTAAATAGAGACTGACATGGTATTGGATATGGCAATATTAATGTATATGGTCTTGGCTGATTATATCTACTTCACTGCTGCTGCTGCAGAGCAAGTACAGAGACTTGCTACTGCCAATACATTTACTGACACTGCTGTAAGTATGTAAGACATACTGCTGCTGCTACACATGTAACATGCGTGAATTAACCACCGTAGCAAGATCTATACAGTTGGAGCTGGGGAAGTTGGGGGGTTCTGGAAGCATGCTGAGGAGCCAAGACTGAGCTCAGGCAATACATCGAAAAGTGGCAGGTACCGGGAAAGTGGCAGGGAACGAGGGTTACATATGTAACCGAGACGTTCCCTTTCGTTTTTTTTTCCCTCCAAGTTACGTCGGATGATGATGAATGGGGATACCATTCTAATTACGCCACCTTCACAGCTGTCTTCCAGTGCCCTGCATAAATCTGAGATTCTTGTCGTGAGACTAGCATGGAAGAAGGACTCCTGTTTAGCACAGGAATACCAAGGTTCATTGCGGAGCATATCTCAGAGGAATAGACATTTAATGCCAGCCCAGATGGAGGGGGGGAGGAGGGTGGATGCATATGGAGAACACTGGGGTGTCCAGCCGCAGGTGGAATATTTCAACCCCAGGGGTGGCAAGGTGGCTTGCAAAGGGAAAGACACATGGTCTGAGAGGCTTACAGTGGAAATGCACATGTGAGGGTCGCCTAGAGGATGTACTATGCACACGGAGACACCTAGCCAATGCACAGTCAATAGACACTCGTGTCGACGTCAGCAGTGCTGGAGGAACTCAGGGCTTGAGGAGGAAGCTCACCTGAGAAAAAAATATTGCACGTATCCAGTCCGTGGAGCAAGAGAAAACACCTGAGCGGGTCCGGTACTAGCTGGTTGAAGCGAGAACATGAGAGGACACAGGCTCCACTCTGAGATTCTCTGGCGAATGTGTTGGGTGTTGCCAAGCCTTCAGCTCTGCAGATGTCTGTTAGCGAGGTGCCATGCGCTAGAGCCCAAGAGAACGCCACACTCCAGGTGGAGTTGGCAGTCATACCAAGGGGGCACGGTCGACCTTGCTGCTGGTATGCCAAAGCAATGGCGTCCACTACCTAGTGAGGCAGCCTTTGCTTGAAGAGAGCCTTTCCCTTCAGCTTCCCACCATAACAGACAAAAAGCTGGTCTGAGGTCCTGAAACACTGTGTTCTGTCTACATAGGCGTGGAGGACGCATACTGGACAGAGCAGTGCCAAGGCTGGGTCTGCCTCTTCCAGGGGCAGCGGTTGCAGGTTCACCACCTGGTCCCAGAAGGGAGTGGTGGAAACCTTGGGCAAATATCCCGGCCGGGGTCTCAGGATCACATGAGAGTAAGCCGGCCCGAATTCCAGGCACGCTTTGTCAATGGAGAATGCGTACAGATACCTCCACCCACTTGATGGAGGCCAGTGCAACCAGCAGAGCTGTCTTCATAGACAGGAATTTAATCTCCACTGATTGCAGAGGCTCAAAGGGAGCACTCTGCAGGGCAGTTAAAGCCACTGAGAGGTCCCAAGAGGGAATGAGAGGAGGGCGAGGAGGATTTAGTCTCTTCACTCCACTCAGGAACCTGACAATCAGGTCGTGCTTCCCTACGGACTTACCTTCCACTGTATCATGGTGTGCGGCAATAGCGGCAACGTATACTTTGAGGGTGGAGGAAGATAGCCTTCGCTCCAACCCATCTTGAACAAAGGAAAGCACGACACTGATCGAAAATCTCCAGGGGTCTTCTCGGCAAGAAGACACACCAATTGACGAAAAGGTTCCACTTCAACGCCTAGGCGTGTCTCGTGGAAACTGGTCCCAAATCAGCTGAACTAACTGGGGATGGAGTCGCCATTCTCCAGGACCACAGTCATCCACAGTCGGTGGGGCAGGAAAGCGGAGGGACCGGTCCATTTTTATGTAACTAACTTAAAAAAATGTATGTACAGTCTTGAAGAAAAAAATTGGATGACTGACTTGTAAGACTAGTCTTAGCAGTTTATGCAACTTGCCTCAGATCTGAATCAGGAGTGTCAAGGAAAACCCACGGGGCTTCCAAAAATGGACCTTGGGGATTCCCCAGAACACTCGCGGGTTGCGTCACTAAAGAGCGGGGCGTTGTCCACGGACAAACAGTCGGCGTTTTGTTCCACACTCAGGTCACCCTGGCCACCAGCCGAAGTACCACCTCTCGTATGGGTGTAGATCGGGGTGTGGATGAGGGGACTCTCTCTCTAACGAGATCATTGAGTCTACCTTAATGACACGATGCTCATGTTCCCTCAGAGAGAACATGAGTCATCCACAAATCTCACAGATCACTGCACAGATCAGCAGGCAGTGTGAACTCGCTGAAGATCGCTGTAACACCAACACCAGAGAGTCGCTCCTCTCGTAGGGTGAAGTCAGAAATGGTTGTGGAGTGAGGAGAAACTCTTGGCCAAAGACCTATGGCATTTCTTTGCCATTGGCACGTTTTGTAATACTCAAAGTCGATAGGCTTTCTAAGCGAAACCCCATTTGTCGATAACCAACGCAAATCCGAGTGACAACGAAAGGGAACGATGTGATTCCTAACAAATGAGAAAAGGACAGTCTGTGCCATCTAAAGTTTCATGCCAATACTTGGTATTGTTTAATTAAACAAAACAAAAAGTATAGTCTAAACAAAGAATGAAAATCGATGTGAAATATATATATATATATATATATATATATATATTCCCTGAAATTATGTCTGTTCTTCAGTCAGCATTTTTCCGTGATTTTCTGTTTTATGTTTAGTAGAAGAACATTTAGTTTAAAAACAGTAGGAAAAAAAGGGTAAAAATACTTGTCAACAATACTTGAACTGTGCATGATTTTTGTCTAATTATTTGATAATATTATTTTATTTTATTTCAAAGATTTTCAACACTGTCATTTCCACCACAGAAAGCTATAAAACAATGTATACTTTGAGAAGACATTGTAGTGGAAATGTTCATATGAACTGAATGACAGAATTCTCCTTGTCATATAATGTTGGTAGACTAACTTATGAGAACGTGTATGCATATGTGTTTTCTGAATGTCCACAGAGCAAAAATAGCCCATAGTTGTAGAAACACCCTTTTGCAACTTTTTATTACATTTTTTTTTTTTTTTGCAGGGAGGCAGCCAGTAATTTCCTGACAGCTCTTGGTCAGCAGAGGAAGAGCAAGAGTCGGCAGCTTTCACACCAAGTTATGTCTGGAAACATCTGGGCGGCCCTGCGGATTGCACTGTCCATGCTGGACCAGCCGGAGCTTTTTCAAGCTGCTAACATAGGAGACCTGGACTTACTCATGAGAGCTTTTAACCTTGATATGTGAGCGAGAATACCCTTTAAACATGGCAAATATCCAAAGTACTTTATGAAAAGAACTTTGTCAGAAAGCATTTTTTTTCTCGCAGAGTACCTTTACATTCCTGAGAACTGATGGCTGGATGATACAATTTGAATAGGTTTGCAAATTGCACATTTAGTTTATGATTATCCTAAAGAGCACAATGCCTGGAGAAGATTGTACTAGTATGCCTTAGAGAAAATATCAGCTTGACCTGCAATGTAACAACGGGAATTGGAGGACAACTTGAAAATTCCACAATTGATGAGAGGAACGCAGACTATTAATGTGCAAGAAGAATATTGACTTCACATCAATGACTTGATTAGACATGTACTGTACTCCGTAGACTTCATGTATTGGTTCAATTGCACTTTTTATGATTTGGACTTAGTTCAACCCTCGATACTCCTCACCTGATCTCTGCTGCATCATCCCCTTTATTTCCTGGAGCTTGCGGACCTGATTAAAAAGCCTTACTTAATGTGCATGTAAAATAAATAATTAAGATGTTATTGGTATGATATCCGATAAAAGCCATTCCTTGCCATAAACTGACCTCTTGATATAACTGAAGAAAAGTCTATGTTCCATCAAGGTCTTTTTGTGGAACATACCACATCTTGAAGTGTTCTTGGACATAGCATTATTTTTTACAAAATTCGATGCAGGGAATTCTGATATACTGCCCCTCTTGCCACAATTATCAGCCTGGATTTGTCAGGAAAACAAGTGTCTCTGTTTTTGAAGAAAGCTGCCCAATATCTAAGCCAAACAATTTGTGATTGTTCACAGTTTTATACCCTAATACTGACGTTGTTACTCATACTAATTATTGCGGTTGCTCTCCAGCTTGCATGACTTGCCATTTTGCTCATCAGTGTGAACACGCAAGTGCTTAATGTTGCATTTGCGCTTCAAGAAAAGTCAGTTCATAGGTGAATGATTTTAAAATGCTATGCAAAACCTATAGATATTTTTTTTTTCTTTATGCATCTGGAAGCAGAAGAAAAGGTTTAAGTACGAGAAAGTACTTTTAAGTACTTTGCTTTTTGTGGTTTAAGGTGTAATAGTAGGTAGGTCTGATAGTCGATGGTCTATTTTACTTTATATTTCGTTTTTTTGTTTCTTTTTTAAAAAAGTCTCCCTGATCCAGCTGAGCTTATTTGTAGCATCATATATTTTCATTATTCCCACACAAAGTGGAAGAATATATTTATTTAAAAATATATATATATATCAATGAAAAAGCATGCAAAGCCATTCAAGCACCCATTATCAAGTGTTATTGTTATTATATTTATTTAATTACTACACTCTGTATTTATTTCCTTATTCTGTATCCAAAACTATTTGAAAAGTCCTGTATATGCTCATCGATACAGTTAGAAAAGACTTGTGCTTTGTAGCCGAATGTTACTTTAGATACTGTAGATTCTTTCATGCCTGAGGCCAAACCTCCTCTTTTCTAGAACTTTGTACAATCTCAGGTGTGATTGTCTAGATGAATTCATGCTCCAGAAATACTCCTGATGTATGATCGCATGCTGAATACTTATTTTTGAATGCTGTAGATTTATTTATATGCATGAACTTGACATGCCTATTTTAATCTATACCCTTAATTTCTATGACTTATTTCTCAGTGTAATCACACAATTTTGCATTAAACACACACACATGTGTGTATACTGATCTGAAGAATACGCCATATTAACCGTAAAATGTCTAGAAATAACAAGCAGTTTTTGCAATGCAGTTGGTAAAATCTCAACAAGATTAACTTTATAGTCACTTATATTACTATTGCAATAGCCAGATTTACTAAAGCCTTTAGTATTAGAGGCTCGAATATATTATGCATTGTTCAGAGCTGTGTTTCTGAATTTGTACATGCAAACTTTCTGAATGTTTGCCAAAGGCTTTAATAACTCTGGCCCAATATTTAAAAGATAGATGCATATACAAAAGTTATCTTTTAAAATAAAATATTAATATTGTAATTTGTAGTTTGTATGTCTGGTTATTGCCATGAGAGCATTTATCTGTTATTTTGTTAAAGGACATGGTTCAATGGATCAAATCTCCTGTTTCCATACTGCCATTCCCAAATATGAAAATGGTAAAGATAAACAACTGTGGATTTTATTGAACAATCCAAACATCGAGTCAAAAGTATGTTTGAACAGATATTTGAATGAGGATTCCCACATTTGCCATAATTGTGTCTTTCTAAACAATATATGGATCAGAAAACCCATTAAAAAAAAAAATTTATAACAAACAAGTGGGCACGTTTGTGTAGTAACTAGAGAAGTGGCACACATTTTTTGCAAAAAAAGAAAGAAAAAAGTTCAACAATAAAAACGTACCAATTAACCTTCAGGTCCATGAAAAACAGAACCCGCTAAAAATCAATAATATATTGTAAAATGTCAACTGACTAATCTCTGAGTTTTAGTGCACATTCTGGAAAAAAAAAAAGTAAAAATAAATCAAGGCATGTTTGAGAAAGGTGGGGTAAAACATCCACTTTCACATCCAATATAAAGACGAAAAAGAGAACAGGAAGAACAGAGAAAGAAAGAGAAGTAGGAGGAACTGGGTATATGCATTCAAAGTAAGAAAGAGAAGGAGAGAAAGAGTGAGAGAACCTCAGATGGATACACCAAGAAAGACATGCACAACACGAGGTAAACGAACACGGACTTCCCAACATAACAGGTAGTGCCCAATAGAAAGAAACATAACGGTACAATCTACAACTGACTGCAACATCCAGTTGAAATACATCGAGATGAACAGGCCCCACCTCAGCCTGAGCGAGATCAAAACAATGATTATTAAACTTTAATTCAGTACTCGCGCTGAACGTGAGAAGAACACTTGCTGAGAACGCATTCTGGTTTTATTTAGGAATGACATATTTCTTTAGCAAATAAATGAAATGGCAGAGCCAGGTTTGGCAGATATGTCATACAGCTTGAGAGCTTAAGATTTGGTAACACTGAGCACCATACATACATGTATCTGAGATAATTATCTATGAATAACACTGCATATAATTCTGATCTATACAGTATGACATCACATATTGCTTAAGTACGGGATAAAAATAGTTTTACATTCTTTGAGACTGGAAATAAATGAAACAGAACGACTTCAAATGCATTCCAGTCTTTAAACTGCTAAGATATGATCAAAGTAAAGCACTCTGAAATTTCATGAATATTAGATATTGGTGCATTTTCTGGTCAGATATCAGACTTACTGAAAGCTACCATGGACCTAAAGTTGAATGTGATAATATTGTACGAACTTATATTCTTAAAGCCATGCCAATAAATGAGGCTCAATGTTCTTATATTAATATATATATATATAAGTTTACTTCTGCTGAAGGTATGGAAACTTGACAAACTTTTGCTGTTAGGGAAAACCCTGAAATATAGATTCCATTAAAAAAAGAAATCAGTCAATGATGCCATATATATGGATCAATCCAAATGCTAGAATATATATCTAGCACATTATCTATCAGCAAATTAAGACCCTATGAAACAAGGAACATAGTCCAGTATTTCAATAAACTTAAAAACTTTTTTCCCCTCTATGGTCAAAAGATTTGTTTTTTTGTTTTGTTTTTGTGAAATTACATTATGTTACAGATCGATTGCAGTTTCATCAAAATCCACTAAACATGATCTCTATTTGAAATCTACACTGACATGCTTTTTATTGTTGTTTAACAACTAGGTAACCCAAATAACATGAAATTGAACTGCAGTGAGTACATTCTGAGATTTTGAAATGGCAGTAATAACATTTGTAAATGCAGGCACATGTTATGTTTTCAAAAGAAGTACGCCTTGAAAATACTGGCAAAGGAGCTTTAAGTATTCAACGAGAAATGTAACAAATAATTTGAGAATATATTAGGAAAATAATCTGCATACTTAAAATTGCACACTTCCCAATGTACCGTTGAAGCAGACACAAGACGGACAAATAAACAAAACTCAGACAGACGACACGTGTTTCCCTGCTCGACCGTTGCTGTGGTATTAGTGTCTGTGTGGGTCTTGGCAGGGTCTGAGAGGTTCTCTCTCCATCTAACAGATGTAAATGTTTCTCTAGTTTCCAGCAGTGTCAGTGGTGCCCCACACACCTCTCTGGCCAAATGGCTGTGCATAAGGTTGTGAAGGTCCAGATCTAGCAGCTTGACAGGCGCCGGTAAAAGTACATGTAGCCCAAGTCTTTAGGGGGTCTCTCTGATAAACATACTTTGTGGTCATTGTAAATCAACCATCTAGAAAAGTGAAGAAAAAAAAAATCTGTTTCAGTTACATCTGTTTATCTGTTTCAGTCAATATATATACACACACACACTAACAGCATTTATTAATCTTGTTATTAATAAATAATCTTTATTAATAATGTTACTAAAAATATATTTGTTCATTGTTTGCTCGTGTTAATTAACAGTGCTTTAACTAATGTTAACAAATACAACTTTTGATTTTAATAAATTATTAGTGAATGTTGAAATGAACAGCCGGTGGTTCTCTCAAAATAACCCCCCACATGGTTATGAGGACCCCGACGTGAAGCGGACCCCCTTCAATGAGCCTGAAGGGGGTTATTTTGAGAGAACCGCCGGCTGGATGTACATTATCCCTAACTTAAAAAAAATGCTGTAGAAGTATATTTCTTTGTTAGTTCATGCTAATTATTTTAGTTATCTAATGTTAACAAATGAAAACTTATCGTAAAGTTTTGTGGTTTTAACATTAGTACTCATTCAGTTTTTAAATATTTTTTTTTTTAAGATTTATAAATGTAAAGGACTTTTTTCCAAACAATTAAATTTGATCATTTTTATTTTACATTTATTATTTTAATTTTATATTCAAACCTAGCCAGCTCAGATATGTCATGTGTTCTAGCTCCAACTAATGAAGCCCTTGTTTAGTTGCATCAGGTGTACTTGAGACAACACCAGTTTCGCAGATTTGTGCTGTTGTGATGGATTCTATTCAGGGGGTTGAATAATTTTGAGACTGCAGTCATTAAAGGTTGCAGTTTCAGTTGAATTTGAACCCTAACCCTAACCACATTTGTTGTGTTGAGCCATTTCAATTACTTTGTTGTTAGATTTATTCATTGCAAACAGCTGAAAGTCTGTACAATTTGCCAATAAACCTGATTTGCAATGGGGCTTGAATAATTTCAGTTACAACTGTACATCATTGTTTGTTGTTGACAGGCACAAAACAAGTGCTCTTTCGATGTTCTCAGCAATCAGTTTGATTATGACATCCACAAAATGATAAGGTGTAAATAAATAACACATTATAATCAGCATACCTGCCCTCTTTTTTGATATGACACACATAATGACCAGACATTGTGGATGTTCCCATGTGACTGATGAAGGCAAACAATTCGTAACCTTTGAGAAAGAAAAGAAAAAAACAACAACAACAGCAGCAATGAAATATCTAACCAACAATGTGTGTACTCCTTAGTATGTGTTGACCCTGTTTGTTGAATTCAATATTCAGTGAGCACTTACGCCCGGGTCCGTCTCTGACACGGGGGCTGGACAGGTCCTGATCTGGAGACAGTGAGGATTCGCTGTGAGCATTGGCGTTTGAGAAGCTGTTATCGTTCGGCTCTGTGTCTGGTGTGTCTGACATAGCCTCACTCTCATCCTCACAGTCTGGGTGTGTGAATATCCAGTCAAGAGCTCGCTCCAAATTGTTGTTCTATAGTCATACAAGAAGTAGAAGACAGACAAGATATGACCTCATGATACAGTAATTCATTTTTCCCATTGCCTTCAGGCTAAAAGACAAATACTTTCATCACTTGAGTAAACTTAAAACAGAGACCAATTTTTATAGGTTACAAACAGCTTAATTGGACAAAAAAACATGGTAAGCTTTAATTTCACAAGAAAACACTGAACATCAAAATTATATCCTTAGGCAAAGAGCCATTTTTAAATTGCTCAGACCAGACGAAAGTCCTTGATTTAACTGGGGTCATTCTAGCGTGGTCAAAAGACTCATTTAGGCATAGGCACTAATCTGAAATAGTGGCGTGATTCACTGCAAATGCCAGCACTGAAAGCAAATGTGGCCTGACGCCCTCATCTTTTCCAGGACAAATGTGAACGACGTAGGTTGAAGACATCCACTTGTTACCGAGCTATTATTGGCTGCTCCAGAAGCTATTTTTAAACACACATACATGCACAGACATGAAAAACATTGTCTAAAACAAAAAGACAAAGAGAATTATTCAAGAAGCAGGAGGTCCTGCTGTGAAGGAATAGTGTTTAAACATTATATAACATGAATATTAACAACCCTGAAAAAAATTATGAAAAATAAAACTATCAATTTCTTTTAAATAAATAAAAACTAACTGACCGTAAACTTCTAAATTATCCTGTATATATATATATATATATATATATATATGAAGAGTTTAGATGCAAAAGCCTCTAAGTGCCATTTGAAATTTTCTTCTAGAATGATCATTTTTATCAATCTTGTATATTTAAGTTCAGTAATTTCACTTAAATTGCATTTAAGTGAAATTACTGAACTTGAATATATAAGCTTGATAAAAATACTCATTTTAGAAGAAAATTTCAAATGGCATTTAGAGTCTTTTGCATCTGAACTCTTCATATACTGTATATACACACACATTTAGTCAACAAGCTAATTTTTACTACAGCATGATCTCTGAAGAAAGTCAAACCAATACAAACCACATTTCCTTAAAATAATAATAATTATAATAATAATTTATGAACTTTCAAACATACAGTACACGAGAAGGTTGTGAAGGTTAGCCAAGTAGTTCAACAGAAGAGCTTCTCCAATCTCACATGCTTAGTCGAAGAGCAACGAGTGACAAAACGGATTCTGAGATGCCAAACATGTTGCGTCTGTGTACTGTAACATGACAGAGTACGATAATATTCCTGTCAGAGAATCGCATCTGAAAATGTGAAGCTAGTAACAGTTCAAATCAGCAACATCCTTCACATGGGCGTCGATTTCGGTGGGGACGTGTCCCCACCAGATTTCGTCATTTTGCGCCCACCACTTTTGGAAACATTAATGCATGGATGTACCATATACAAATAAAACATCTCCAGTTAACTAGCAGAGCATTCATTTAGTTTGCACTTAAATAAGAGATGTAGTGCTAAAATGTTTTGTTTTTGAACTCAAGCTGAGCGCTCGTGTCCGCTGCTATCAGTGTCATCATGGATACAGTGTTCTCTTGTGGCTCGACTTCACTCGCACGTTGCGGAGAGTCTCTCTTTTTTATTCCGGTGAAATTTCAAAATAAAATGCACAAAAAACGTGTCCCTGTTTGATATGTAACCAGTGATGAACATATTCAGTTTTGATGAGAGAAAAAAAAAAACTATACAAAGTGCAGATTAGAACCCGTAACCT